CTTGCTTGTTATTTCGTTTTACTAACTCATTATAGCACTTGTATTTCTTCACAACTTTTACACAGTTCCATAATTTTCTTTGTTCCTGTTTGCATCCTAATCACAACTCACTCATTAAACTATTCATCTTGTTACGTAACTGTATCACGCTTATTCAACTTCTTTTATGTGTTGATTAACATTATTAACTATGTGTTTTTGACAACTCATCACCTCTTACGAATCTTCACTCCACCCCAGCCCTACTTACAGTTTGATTACTCATCACATTTTTGAAATGTTTTGACAACAATAACCCTAACTAATTTTTATTCTTATTGGACAAACCTAATGTACACACAAATATAGAAAAATAAGTACAGCTATAAGTGAATGAATTCGCCGTTGAAAACAGACACTTCGCTGAACTACACGTTTTGTTTTCATTAATGTCCTTCAGTTTTCCCCAACTAGTGATGATTTCTGTTTGTTTTCATCCACCTGAAGTCTCCTTTCAGTTTTCGCCATCGTTTTAAGTAGCTTGTTGGTTTTTACTTGGAAGTCTTCGAGATTACGCAACACAAGGCATACATTATTCACGAAATATAAATCTTCTAAGATCTTTATTCTTTATGTTGGTCCAGCGTATACGCGTCATCTACCTCCTCACATTCTTCCAAATGACATGGTTCACCACACATCAAATGGCCAAACATTTGAAGCCATTTTCAAGTATTGGTATAAAGTTTCCTGGGGTTCTAGTAAGAAGTCGTGACCATTAGGGTACAGCAGGTGATCGGGTGTGAGGACAAATAGCCGCCAAAGACATTGACTAGTGGCCACGCTATGTCATGATTTAGCAGAAGGTAAAATTTATGGAGCGAAGGCTATTGGATCAGATCATAGTGGCTTAATGGTCTACAAGCTAGTTCGCCTTGTAACCAGAAGGTCTTGGGTTGAAACCTTGAAGGTGGGTGCGTACTATTGAAGAGTCCAAAACTGGGACGAAACCGCTGGCTGTCCATTACTCCCAGATTTTCCAATGGTTCTCTAACTAATGTCAACTCATGATCAAACAGAATCCCTACAAAAGCAATACTAGAAAATAGAAAGTATAAGCGTTTTCCGCTCATAAGATTTAGATACGATGGAGAAGATTTATAGCTCAGGTGGATGATTTTGATGTGGTTGTGTTCTGTGAGCTGGATGGTGGTTTATTTGCGAAGCTTTCATTGCCCTACTAGACGACATCTTCAGCACATACTTCAATTTGTTGAAGTGAGCTTCTAGATTTCTCCACGAGTTTATTAATCATCTCTCCTGGTGACCTTGGACGTGATTGGCTGCTTTTGTGTGTTTTCACACCTTCTAGGCTACCCCTAAGGAAAGTACAAGGAAAATTGCCCTACCATATATAAAGGACATCTCAGAAATCACTGCAAGACTCTTCAAACCTTTAGGAATTGACGTCGCACACAAACCAACAAAATCACTTCACTCAGTTCTATGTCAACCAAAAGACTCAACAACGAAAGAAGATAAAACCAACATCATCTACAAAATAAATTGTAACAACTGCGAAAAACACTACATTGGCCAAAGTGGACGTCCTCTTCGTCTTCGTATCCACGAACATAAGCTAGCCGTCAAAAGACATGACATCCACTACCTCATATCGTATCACTACATACAGACAACCACAGACATCAATTCGACTGGGACAACAGCGTTCAAATATTAGACAGAGGAAACAACAAGAATGCTAGAGAATTTTTAGAAGGCTGCCTGGTATTCCAGTGAATCATCAATCAATAGACACATCGAGATAGACAAAATTTATCAACCGATAAGAAAGAAACCTCACACACAAAGGGTCAAAGTTCAAGTCAAAGAAACAATCAGTTCCAATACAAGTAGCTGCCTAGAGGGTGTGAAAACACACAAAAACAACCAATCACGTTCAAGGTCACCCACCAGGAGAGATGACTAATAAACTCGTGGAGAAATCTGAAAGCTCACTTCAATAAATTGAAGTATGTACTGAAGATGTCGCCTAATAGGGCGATGAAAGCTTCGCAAATAAACCACCATCCACCTCATAGAACACAACCACATTAAAGTATAAGCAACATAATTTCAAAGATGATGTAAGTAGACGAACTATTCAGTGTTAAAAGAAAGTAAATAGACAAGGAAAGGGGGGGAATGCAGATTTCTCTTGGAAACAAGGATGGACTAGAGACAAAATACAAGACAGAACAACAGAGTTAACTTATACATATTATGGTGGAGAATTCAGGAGGGTGGGTGGGGTGAATAGTGAAGTAAAATTATAAAATAGATAAAATAATTTAATTTAGTAGATTTGGAACCTTAATCGTGAGTCCAACTCAGTCAGCAAGGGAAAATCAAAATCAAGATTGACTGGAATGTTATGCAACAGAACAAAACACAAAAGCACCCGGACAATACAATTATGGTTACCAGGTAGGGTAGTGACAGATTAGTCACACTCTCTGCTTTCTGTATACACGGTTTGGGTCGAAGTATTTTGATGGTGGCAATGGCTCCTGTGAACCGAAGTAACCATACTTTTCTTTGTGTATTGATTGATTATTTTGAAAGTCTGACTAATTTCCACCGTATGTCCCATGTCCCATGGAGAATTGCTCCTGAGAGTACTTTGCTGGCTTTCAAACGGAGACTTTTAGGGACATGCTCGAAGAATCTAGTAGACGCTCTGCTCTCCTCTCAGTCCTTCCTTCCTTCCTATGGACTTTCTGCCGCGGGTGAAGATGAACAGATTAATGCGATTGGAAGTATGTTAATGAAGGTTATAAGAGAAATGTATGAATTCATGCCAATTTTATCCCGCTTAGTACTAGTACTCTTCTTTTTCTAAACATAAATATCCTCTAATTAATATCAAATATTGTTAGCGAATGCTTTTTGTAGACAGAATTATGGCGCCAAAATTAACTAATTATCCCTAATGACAATAATATTAAAAACAATCAGCGAATAATTAACGTCAAAAGAAAACAAGAACGTATCAGAGTAGACGAGAAGGATACAAACTTAATTACGGTAACGAAAAAAGAAGGGACAAACATTTTGTCTGGTACTATGATATTCAACTATTTTTACAAGTCAATCGAAATCCATACAACAAGAATGATTCTACACGAGAAAAATGAAAGAATCAGAGTTAAAAATGCACACTGTAACCTAGAGGTTAGTTGGTGAATGGTGACTAGCAGTGAAATTCAGGATAAGACGTATTTCGTCCTATTTAGGACTCGCCAACTGCATGCACCTGCATTCACCAGTCAGTGAGTGATGATGTTCCTTCAATCGAGGCTCGAACCCAGTGCCCATAGTTTCAAACGCCAAAGCACTATCCACCAGACCACTTTGACCACGAGAGCCACCTTTTGAGCAACGGGTCATATTGATTTGAATGAATTTTAAATTTTCCGTCCATTGATTGATTGGACCGGAGTGCTCGGTCTCAGGTTGACATGTCGGCTTCTTGTGCAGATGCTTCGACGATATCTGGGCATGTAGTTAGAGGTTAATTGGTGGATGGTGACTAGCAGTGGAATCCAGGAAACTATGGGTACTGGGTTCGAGCCTCGGTGGGAACATCACTCACTAAGGAATGCAGGTGCGTCCAGATGACGAGTCACAAATAGGACGAAATGCGCGTTATCCTGGATTCCACTGCTAGTCACCATCCACCAATTAACCTCTAATTACATGCCCAAACATCGTCGAAGCATCTGCACAAGAAGCCGACAGCATGTCAACCTGAGACTGAGCACTTCGATCCAATCAATCAATCGACGGAAAAATCTAAAATTTAATTAAATGCACTGTAATCTGTTTCGAAATGTTTCAAATAGCCTATCCAAGTTAAAAGGTGAAATGAATGAACTTCTGACCAGTAAAAAGTTTATAGTAAAAAGTCGAAAGGCTTCCTTGAAGTGCGTCAGTGGTACAGCCGTAGGTTGATTGCCGATGATGCATGTGATCCGGGGTTCGATTCCCTGCTTTTGCACATCTTTACGTCGCCTAACCGGTTGTTAACTCGATTAAAGAGGGAAGGTTGGGTGCGAAGCAAGCAACCCTATCCACCTGTAAAAATACCATTGCGACTAAAACATCAAAGCTTCTGTTTGAAGCCCCATGTTCCACTTGGAATGTGTAGGAATAAAGAAAAAAAGCTTTAATGATGGAAATACTACTGAGACACTTTTTGTTAGCATTTCTGTGTTCACAGTCCTTGCTTTGCATTCCAAGTAGGACATAGGGCTTCAAGTTTTGGAGCTTCAGAATTACCAGTGTTTTTGCATGGCTCACGCCCAACCTTCCCACTTCTCCAGTTTTGAGGAAACTAGCTGAGGTTTATGAATGGCGCTTCCAGAGGCTAGAACCTGAACCGCATGTATGGTTGGAGAGCATTCCACCAATGCGTTCACAATAAACTAATATGATTATAAAATATCTGAACATTTCTACACTAGTCCCGGTCACTTGATAACAAACTCAATAATGGTATTTGTAAGTAAAATATAGGACTTCATCAAGTCTCTGTCGCATCAGGAGTAGAGAAATGTGCCATTTCCACAGTACCATCATTTAGGCTACGTTATGCATACTTCCCACTAAACCTTAACCGTGTCACTATCACAAATCGTGATGACTTTTAATCTACCGGCCTTAAATTCTACACATTTTTGACTAATAAGCATTGAACAGTCTGCTATTCCACGACGTTACAACAAAATGAATGATTTCATTACTGGAAGCATTTATTTCCCGATATGAATTGAACGCAAGCAACAAAAGGTGAGTAATAAAGCAGGAATTAATGAATTCATCAAATTTCGATAGAACTATTCAGCTGAATACGCTACATACACGGATATATATACTTTTGAAATTACCCTGGGAGAAAAAAGACTGATAAGTAAACAAACTACATTGAATTAGTCATGCAGAAAGACAGGTGCGAATGTTCAGATCAGATAAAGGCAAGGGAGTTTGAGAGATTAGAATTAAGACAAAACACGTTACGGTCCAATTACATCGCTTACATAAACAATTAGTCATTAGAGAATATATCAGGAATTACAAACAGAGTAATATCAATAGCAAAAGTTATAATAACAATAATAATAATAGTGTTGAAGTGAGTTAAGATAATGCCACTGATAAAGGATATTTTTAAATGAATCAAGAATAATAATACGCAGAATAATAAGTAAAACATATAACCATGGT